CAGAAAATGGGTCATTCTGTTGGAAGCAACAGTGCCATGATCAGTTCTCAATGAATTTGTGAATGAGCTATTGAGTAAATTTTTTGAATTAAAAATATAATAAAATAAGTGCAATTATCTTAAGTTCTTTAAAATTATTAAGTTCAATTTGTTCCTTTTTAAAATCAGGTAAAATTTTAGCATTTTGAAACGTCAATTGGTTTAAATTTTCTGCAACAAATTACTATCAAAAATATTTTCAAAACTCCCAAAGTTACGATCTAGTTTATCCTAGCTCCAGAAAAATGAAACCGATTGAACTTTTTAATGACATTACAAACGTTAAACGCGGTGACAAGTTTTAACGTTTAGAAGCCACCTTGTCACCTCCGAATTAGAGACAGACCTTATGTATATGACGTAAAAAATATTTATCTAAATTTTTCACATAAATAAGAAGAAAGTGGAAAAAGTTTGTAAATTAAAAATCTGCATAAAAGCTATTTGTACTCTGTAAATCTGATATTGAAAACGTATTATGCAGCAAATAGATAAATTTTTAAAAGAAACACCAAAAGCACATTTTCTGAAACTTCATTAAATATTGCTCATCTTACAGTTCTGCAATTGCACGGGAGTATATTTACACATCAATAATATATATATATGTATATTTAAATAGTTTTGAATTAATAACTTCATTGTGATTGTGATTTTATTTTAATGATCACTTTCAAAGAGAACAAATCTTTACAGCTTTGATTTTTATTTTTATAAACTCCTTTATTACAATAATACTGATTTTCATAAGTGTATTTGCATTCATGGGACTCGGGGTACTTTCTGTAAATTCATTTTTTGTGTTAAAATTTCTGGTAAAATTTGATTTGGTACTGTCATAATGATTTTTAGAAAGTAAAAAAAAATGATTTTCAGCTTTAACTCTTCCCAAATTTTTGAAAAATTCTTTTTTGCAAAAATAAGTCTCTAATAGTTTTACACAAAGAATAGACATTCATAAAACTTAAGCAAATCAAAAGTGTCAACTTACTAAAACTGCCTGATTTGTCCGATTTGTTTTTAATGACTCTTAAGCAAATTTGTATTTTCAGCCTATTTCACTATCTCCGGGCCATAATTCCTTGAATTTATATCTGATTTTCAGCAATTAAAATTTTTAGTCTACTAAAGAGTCATCCTTGTTTCATTTTAAATACTTAAAAATAAACAGTTTAAATTCAAATTTATTTAATTACCAAAACTCTTTGTTAATGTGCGTAGTTTGAAGTATGATTAAAAATAAAATATCGAATTCAAAAAACTGTTCTTTAAAATTCTTATAAATTTTAAGATGTAAAAGTCAAAGAAATATCTTTAAATTATTTTAAGGCGAATTTAATGAATGTCTAAATGAACTAGTTGCATGTGAAGCAAATGAGATTTAAATTTTATTATGATATTTCGAAACATTTTTGAATGCATGATCATATTTGAATGCAAAATCTAAATATTAAATCAAAATTTCAATTTCTCATTTAAATAAAACTTTGATTTATTTAGATTAAAATAAATCACTTTGAAGAAAGCCACAGGATCAAAATCTGATATGAGATGACAAAACAGGAAATTTTATTTGCAGTGAATTGTACTAATTTAATCAGATCCATGAGTTTTAATATAGAGAATTCAGAAGCTCATATCCCTCAAGATTCAATCTCCTTACAAAATCGCCGCTCGTGTGCTTTTTAGAAGAAATGGCAATTTTAGAAGAAAGAGAATTAAAACATGAGGTAAGCAAACCTCAGTTCTCATTACCATTTTCCTGACTCTTAATATGCATTTGTTTTATGACTGAAATGAACCACAAGAAGTTGCTAGCTTCAGAATCGAATAATCTCTCTCTTTGCTCAAGTAACTATTTGTAGAAGAGAAAAGCATTCCACCTTAGCCTTCTTAAACTTTAGGGGATTTCGCCTACTTAGCATTCCAAGCCGAAAAGAGCCTTTTCGAAGGTAGGCCTGGCCTAGTGATTAGCATGGAGAATCCTGAGGTTACAACCGTGTCCCTGAAACCCTCCTTTTCCCTCTACTCTCAAGCGCGCGAGCATAGGATCGTAATTAGCCACGGCTCCTCCATTCGTAGGGTAAGGCAGAGTAGGAGGAGGGGTAGTGTCAGGGAGAAACAAACCAAGCAAAAGGCAGAAACCTTTAAACTAGAAACACCGTGAAAAGGCGCATTTATAATTCAAGCGCTGCATTCATAATTAACGAAGAAGGCTTGTACTAAATACATAATGTAGAGATATCATCCGTTAATGCAGCATGTGCGCGTCTGAGAGGGGGATGGGGGGTAGGAAGGGCAATAGGGGTGGAGTAAAACTGTAGCGTGTTCGAAGTCAGATCGTTACGCTGGTAAGGAACAACTGATTTAGGAAGTGTCCCGTTATTGGATTCGTAATCGAGTAAGGATGAGATTACCTGGGAATTCCGCCTAATTAGCTTCCAAAACCTTGCTTGAGGCTGTGAGGGGAAAAAGACGACGATAGAAGACGAACCCACGCTCTCGCCAGCTTTCAGAGCGTCCGTCGCTATTTTTTTTAATTGTATTCCTCGAGTAAATACCTATTGAGGGTTAGAAAAAAAGTATTAATCATAGTACCGTCGTCAAAAATTGTATTTCTTACAAACGCGGAGATTCTTTGACGTAGCTGGAATTCTAATTAGCGAGTGAAGAACTGATAATTAAATCATAATCCTGTCGAGAGCGGAGGCTGGGTTAGATAAAAAGGGAAAAAAATTAGAAGGAAGAGAAGCTAATTTGAAAATAATGGAAGTCGATGTGTTAAAATTATAATCAAATTTTTTGCTAGGGAGTAAAAACATGAAAAATCAAATTTTAGCAAATTTTAACAAGAAATAATGGAAATCTAGTGATTTAAGGTTAATTATTAATAAAGTTTTTTTTTATCTCACATTTTATAAAAAATTGTAATTACTTAAATTTAAGCTTTTGCTTCTGATGTAAATTAACAGGATTATAAAAACAACAACATTTTTCTTTAGATGTCATCTTTTGTAAGAAAAAAAATCAGATTTTGATAAAGTTTATTAAATATTCAAATATTCAAAGCATTGACTATGTCTTTTCAACTAACTTTTAAAATAATTATTAAAATAATTAATCAGATTCATATATTCCTAAGGGAAAATTCTTAACTGAATATTATGATCTTGCCGATCACTCAAAATTTAAAGTAATTGGTGTATCCTATTTGTAAATTAAGTTATTTTTTAGAATGGTCGTTAACTCTTTTCACATTCTAGAATGAAATTAAATCTAATGTTGAAACTAAAGAATTTGTCGTAAGACTAATTAAGGCGCAACCTTTAATGTAGGTGCTGACTTTTTTACAACTAACTTAATCATTTCTAAACCTATATCATAATTAAGTTTCATTTTAGCGGGAAGAGTGTAGTCAAATTTTAAATTAGCTCACGAGTTTGTTAAAATTCATACTTGAACTAAAGCACACATAGTTCGTTACTAAGTCACTTGTTTTCTTGGATTAGTTTATTAAGCAATTTTGGAATTCAAGTCATACATTTTTATTTTAATTAACTGTTTGGTAAAACTAGTTCCTTAAATTTCTCTTATATGGTAAGGTTCTTCTCAATTATTTTGTGACTGACTATTTATATTTAACAAATTACTAAAGTAATAAATCCCATATTTATGTCCCTGAAAGAGAAATAATAACAGAATATTATTATATTGAAGATGTTTCCCGATATCAAGAAATTGGTGCATTTTTATTTTGTAACTTAATTTATTACTATAAGTAATCATCTACTAACATTTTACACCCGTAAAGTAACAAATCTTTATTTTTGAAAAGTTCAGTTTAATTTTAATGTAGCTCATGTGTTTAAATAAATTTAACTTCAAATTAATCTTTTTTTTTTTTGCATTTATATACTTTTTATATGCTTTTATTTATGCAGCTTTTATTTCATAAATATTATTTTATTATAGATTTTATTAAAAAAAATTTTTTTTCTTAAAGTAAGATTTATCTTTTAAAAATAAAATAAAATTCAATAAAAGAAAATTAATAAAATAAAAATAACTTTCCTTAAAAAATATTTATCTTTTTATTGTGCTAAAAGTTGTATATGAATAACTGTTTAAATTTCTTCTATATGGTTTCATTTTTATCTCTATTTAAAAAATAGTAATTCCGAAATTCTTCTTGAAATTAGAATATTACTGAAATATTTTATATAGATCACACTAAGAAAATTTTTTTTTTCATTGCAGGATTTTTTTTATGAAAAAAAAATGAAAAAAACCCGATTTCAGATATTTTTGTATCACTGATCTCAAGTCTGCAATTGATTTCTCTCTCCGATATACAGTTTTCTTTCAATCTGACATTTTCAGTCTTTTTATTTTAAATGTACATGTTTAAAAACGTTATATAGAACATGGGTTCACATAAACGTTGCGACAAACTACTAAGAGAATCAGGGTAATGCAACTGTTTTGCTACCGAAACAGTTCGATTTTTAATGCACTTTAAGAGTATTTAAAGTGTTAAGCAAGTATAAAATTAGTACTTATAGTAATGAAACAACTTTCTGCCATTAACTATTTCCATTGGAACTTGAAGTTGATTAAAGCATTATTTATTGCAACATAAATTCAATCCTATGTTTTTAGAAACAGCCTCATTTTTTTTCCTTCAAAAATTAATTTGGACTAAAACGTTTGATAACTTTTCATATTAGGTTTTCATATTGTGTTAAAAATGCGTTAACTTTTACTCAATACAAGTTAATATATTCTTAAATATTGTCTGTGTTTCCCATGTCTTATATTTGGTTTAAAATTTTTAAAAAATATATGAAATAAAGTCATATGAAAAATAAAAATAAATAAATTACATGCATAATAAAAAAAGCTGTGTGCGCAAAAAATTAAAAGAATGTGTACAAAAGACACGAAACTGAAATTGTAGTAATTATATTATTAATATTGGACTTAATTATTTACAGTTCATAGCCTATGTACATAAAAATGTCAATAAACAAACAAATATGGAACGTACATAAATGATATAATGTTCGCGACATTTACAATATGTTATATAGACTTTCTTCTCACAGAGTTATGGATTTTCAGTAAAAGAAACAAAATATAAAGCATTTTAAGAATAAAATTTAAATGTTTTATTTAATAATGTAATGGATATGGACCTAAATAAACTAGATGCTAAATACTTGAAACATAATCAACGAGGAATAAAGTAAATAATATATAGTTTTAAATATATATTAAAAATATAATCGCGCATTATTTTTGCATTTGGAAACGAAATTTTAACATTATTTTTTCTTTTTTGCTTTTCTTATGCTCATAAATATTATTTCCTTAAAGTAATGACAAACTCTTAGATTTTTCATAAATATATTTAAGGTCGATATCCATTGTTTTATGCACCATATGTCAATCTTACCACTTAACAAACAGTATAACAAAAATTGTGTTTCAATATGATTTCATACATTCATAGCGTATATAAGACTTTCATGGGCACTGTCAGACGTTCATGAAATAGTTTATGGTCAACAAAAATATTTAATATCTTAAAAACAATTGTATAGAAAATTTTATGTTAGCTATATTACAGGTATAATGCCAACTACTTATATGCTACCATGATTTCTTAATTTTTGTTTGTTATTTAGAATTATAAAAGCTTCAAACAGCAATTAATTTTTTATCCAATTACGGCATGTCTTTTATTAACATTTACTTTATTGTTGAAACCTTATTAGAGAGCATAGCGGATGTGGATGGCATAAAATTTTTCGAAAGGAATTATAAACAATATAGACATGCCAAAAAAATATAGAAAGAATTTTAAAGTATGTCTAAATTTGGTTATAATTTACATAATGTATCTACCTGGACACAAACTGTGAGAATTGATTATTATATATGAAAACATGTGAAAACCACGTGGAAGTTCGCGAATAACGCACAAAATGTGAAACTGAACAACTCCATTTCTCACCTAAACCTCTTTGAAAAGCACAAGTCTAGGTAAAAACCACGATCGATGCGATTTTGTCACAGATCTAAAAGCTGTTGTTATGGCTTAATTGTACCATTCATTGCTAATGCTGCTGAGCGGAATACTTCATTCGTTTCTGTTTTTGTCTTTGATTGCAGAACCAAACTCTGACAACATTTTTCTTGAGGTCCAGTTTCTCCGCTATTGCGGCTATTTTTTCCCCTGAAGGTCTTGGTTGTACTGCAAAATATGCTTCAAGGGATCGTTTTTCTGGAGCGGCTATGGACGTTCTCTTACGCTTCTTTTCACCACTAGGCAACACACTTGGACCATCAGGCTCTCGCCTTTTGTTTTTTGCTTGTGCCTCAGCGGCCTCGAGCCAAGCTTGCAAGATAGGCTTTAGGGCAACCATGTTGTTATGGGATAGTGTGAGAGACTCGAACCTACAGATTGTGCTCTGAGAAAGGGAACCGACCCCTGGAAGCTTGAGGTTGGCGAGAGCTTTTCCTACGTCTGCTTGTGTGACGCCTAGTTTTATACGTCGCTGTTTGAATCGTTCAGCAAATGCTTCGAGCTCTCTGGGATCGGTATCTGCGTCGTGCATACCCATGGAAGGATGTGGAGCTAGTGGATGATGGTGAGTGGCCATCATGGTATTCATGCCATGAGAATATATAGGTCCATGAAGTTGAGGATGAGAACTAACAGCACTGCTTTCTGTTGGCATGGAAAGCGGAGGGAGAGAAGAAGGACAAATAGGGTCTAGCAAGTCCATAGCGTCCATTCCGGAGTGAACCATTTGACTGTGATGGGGACGTGTGTTGGCTGCTGCATGACCGGGTCCCATACCCGGATGATGAGCGTACATCATATCATGTTTGATGTGCAAACTTGGACCTCCTGTCGGACCATGTTTCCCAATGTCCATCGTAAGGCTGTCCGGTCTCCCAACTAAGCCATCATCAAATGCAGGGAAAAGGTTGCCCTGTAAAAATAATTATATCTTATAAAAAATGTACAAAGAGCAATATTTTTACATGTATATATATANTTATAAAATAAAATTATTAAAAAAATTTAAAAAAATACAATTAGAAAATTTAACAGCAAAAAGATATAAACTCGTCACAAGTTCGCACGATTATTTCCACAAAAGTAGTACTTTCTAATATTAGATTAGAAGTCAATTTCCAAATCAATATGTATGAATATAATAGTTTGAGTACTGTCTCTTATAATTTAATTGCTTCGTTAGATATTTTTACCATGTGGGTATTTTCAAGTTACTTCTTCTAAAACTTTTTAATATGGTTCAGCTGAATCTCCAAGATGAGTCTCCAATCTCCTTAATCTAAAGCAATATCCTTCTTTAGGTCAAATCTCAGAAACTTCGCATCTTATTCTATTATGTAAAGTCATCTATTTTGAGTCTTCTTCAGTTTCATGTTCACTGTTCTATTTTTGAGACTGTGTGGTCTTTTATTGCCTGTCTGGAAAGTTTTTTTTCGGTGAAATTCTCCAAATACCATTTTACTCCAAATACCAAAAGGTTCTTCCAAAACTCTTTCGACATACGAAGTCGAGCATATTACTAATATTTGTCAGTTATTTTCTTTCTTATCTAATCAGTTCCTTCCTAAAAAGCCACAGTCCTTATAAAAATGAGAAGAACTTGTGTCTTATATATTTTATCTTTGAAAAAATATATATATATATATGTATAGGGAAAAAATTTTGGTATAAAATACCATTATTCTGGTAAAAAACTAAAAGTATGAGGTATTTAAACCTTTAATTTGATCATTTTTTCAGTTCACATGGTTACGATTAACTGGAAGCTCCTGTCTTCAAAATTATAGTTCTTATAACCAAACAGCTAGTAAAAAATACAGCACTTAAAAGTACAATTAATTTAATCGAATAAATGATTGTCGTGCCATGCTCTATTGCATCGTGAATAAAATACCGAATTTTATCATATTTACCAGTTTTTAATCATTTATTATAAAAACATATTTTCGTGTTAATTTTACCAAAATTATTTCCAAAGCGCATTGTTAAAAATTACCGAGTTTTTTTTTGTTGTTCTCATATAACCAGAAGCATGGTAAGTTTTACCATATTTCGGTAGCTTCGATCATACTTTTTTCTAAGTGTGGAGGTTTGCTTAAATTTCTCTTTACCAGTTGCATCAGATTTACTTTCTTTGTTTCTATATCAAGTTTGTTATATTGACAGAAGAGAGGAAAAAGAGTAATCTGAATATTTTACATAAGCTATTTCATTGACTCTTAAAAAAATAAATAAATAAACAGAACTTTCCCTACTGATCAGACCCTTAGCCAAAACTTCGAGTTTGAATTTTAATATTGTTACAAAAATATATACCCCCCAGTTCTATTTATTGTTCTTTATGCATCCTAAAGAAACTTACCAACCAAAGTACTTCCATAGTTCAGAAGAATTGATTTGCAAAAATTAATTAATTTTAAAAAACTGAAGGAAATAATCATATGAAGCAAAAATAGCAAATATTTAAGTGCAGTGAAAAAAAATCTCCAATGAAATTACGGTAAAAACTACCAACATTCTGGACGCTGGTACTTTTTACCGTAATATCCATTTTTACGGAACAAAAAAAACTGATATACAGTAAATTTTTTAATAATAATTACTGTAAAATCACTCAATCACTCTAATTAAATGCTTTACACAGCAATTTTTTACAGTGTAGTATTTCCTTAATTTTGTTATAACAGCGGATACGGCCTTTTTCTTTTAAATTATAGTTCTTTAAAATTGTCGTGTTCACTTAAACACTTCGTTTGATGGATATTAGGAGTAAATTATCAATCGAAAAAAAGAGGCGGAACTTAATATAGAATGAAATGCAAATCTGTTTCTCTCTAATCATTTCAATTTATAAGGTTTTTCCACGAGTTTGAATATGAATAACTCACAAAATTATTCATAGGAAACCAATATCATTTCTAGCTATTTTAATAACAATCAAAAATTATGCGAGAATTATAGAAGCTGCATTATTTATTATATGGATATTAACTATTTTTCTCTTAAATGCTGTTCTCACGAGAGAGATTCGATTTTGATTATTGACTTGACCATTCACATTATTTGGCGATAGTTCTTGCTTATAAATATAATCATGCTGAACTTGCGGATCATGGAATATGATATTCCGCCCTCCAGGGCATAACCTAGTAAGAGGTTATGCTAATAATCACAATTGGGAATGGAAAAAGCATTCCAGTTTTTTTAATGGATTTGGATACCGTGCTTGGGAAGAACTCCGTTACAAACAGTACCAAGCGCTTTGAAATGATTGGACATTTGTCTAAAAGAGATTTATACATTGAAAAATCAATTTTTACACTATCACGAAGACCTCCAATTCTGTGTTATTTTTTTCTATTTTTATGGGAGCGTTACAAATAGGAACAATACACGAGTGGTTAGACTTATAACAATTTAGTTGCATAACATCTATCTTGGTTTATGGATATTTGGATTTATTATTTATTAATTTCGATTAATTATCTTGGCTAGAAACCAAGAGGCAAAATGTTAGTTTTTATATTCAAAATAGCAAGTTCGTTTTTCTGGAACATGATTGGATATTTTGTCTAAGTTTTTATTCTTTTGAATATCATTTATGCAGAAATGAATTTTAGAAAGTAAAACTGTTATAAAGTTTATACTGTTTCTGTTTGACAATATCTCATTAAACATTTCGTTTTATATTTCATCCTGTTTGTTTTGTTATTTTTATGCTGTGATTTTTCTGAATTTCAAAAATTCATTGTGAAAAATTTAGAAAGAAATTATTATTCCCCCATAAAGTTGGTTCTTGTTAAACTGATATCAGTTGTAAAGAAATACTGCATACTGGAACTATTTATAGTTATTATTTTTTTTAACATTTAATCGTAATAAAAGTCAAATTAATTTTACTTATATTCAATGCAAAAAAAAATTTGCCAATTGTATTGTCCAGAGTAACAATTTTATTAAATGTTAAATTAGAACTGAAAATTAAATTATGATAATTCTAAAAAATAAATATGATAATTCTAATTATAATTATGATAATTCTAATTATAATTAGGATAATTAAATAAAAAATACTGATAATTTAAGAGGAATTCAACCAGTATAATTTGTTTGTTGAAGGTTTTTATATTGAAATTCATTATCTTATTTAACATCAGATTTATTTATAGATTTATTATTAACTGCTTTTTTTGCATAGAAATCGGAATATAGAATCTCGTAATATATTTTTTTAAAAAGTGATCATGGATTGGTATTAGTTGACATGCATTGAATCTGCAGAAATATTTCTATTTCGCTCACTACACCTTAACGTTGAAGCAGAGAAATCAGTTATGATTTGTAAGTTTTTCGAAACTTAAACTGGCATCGTTTACTTTATTTATTATGTAAACGAAGCAGTCTGCACAGGAAACGTAAAATAATATTTGAAACCATGTAGGCCAAACAATCAGGATAGCTTTATTACTTTTGAACTCATTTGTATCACGATCATTTGTTGAGAATACATTTAAACGATCAAAGTCTTCATTACATAATGGCAAAATAGACCTAAAATAGATCATAAGTAAAATAGATCTAAAAATTAAAACGGAAAACCAATGCAATCATTTTATTCAAAATTATTTGCTGATAAAATAACACTGGGTTTACCGAAATGCAATTTTGTTTCTAAAATTTATGCTTAAGACTTTAAATACGTTTAGAAAGAAACAAACATGTTAGAAAAAAAATTTAATCTTTTTTTTATTGTGATTAGTTAGCACCAAACTTTATAGTTCAATCGCTTTCTTTAGCATTTTTAGTAACATCATGCGTAATGATTTTATAAATAAGTACACCGAGCGTATTTATTAAAATTTTGATGTAAAATTGTCTTTTATAACTCTAAGAAGATAGTGATAGATTGATTTCAACTCTTCCTCCATTTTTTGTGCTGTTTGCAACTGCATCTTTTCTTAATATATATAACATATTTGATAAAATATAATGCATGCATATAGTAGATATTAAGTAGCTAGTTCATGGTTATATTAAAACTCATTAGAGATGTTTTTATTTAACAAATTTTACTAAAAGCTTACGCTTACTTGGGACAATTTACTAAAACACTTACTTAAAGCATGGGCACAAAAATTTGCAAAACGCACGTTTGAGCTTATTTACAGAGGTAAAATAAGTTTACCCTTTGAGTACCATATATTTGTATTCAGTTTATCTAAGTGAATATAATAGCTACTTAGAAAAAAATTATGGTGAGGAAATTTAATAAAATTGTGAGTATATAAAAACTTTAGAGTAAGTTTTAGATACATAAATAAACTATTTTTAATATTAATTTGTTCAACTTGATAATTATATATTTTACCCTTCAGATATTAACTAAAATTTTAATTTTGCAATTCATGCAACAATACAATGTTTTTATATATTATATACATTTTATTAATTATTTAAAATGCAACAAAAAAGCATTTTTTATTAATAAAACTATAAAAAACAATCCATATTTTTTAAATACGCAATGAATATGAAAAGCATTTTAATTTATTTTACATCAATTAAAAAAATATTTAGATTCTTAAGTTGGCTTGAGAGCTCTACATAGCTAAAAGTTTCTTAAACTTTTGGCTAAAACAAACATTCAAAATAATTTTAAGTAATCGAATTCAACCGACTCCCTCTATTACCATTATAATAAAAGCATATGCTTCCATCTCAAAATACAAAAAGGAGCCATTTATGCCACTTAAAAGAATTTTCTCTTCATCGAAATGTCCCGCAGTGGACTGATCGTTAAGACACGGTTCCCAGCAGATCACCGAAATCAAGCATCACTGGCTACGGTCAGTGTGCGGGTGGGTGACCACTTGGATCGGTCTGCGTAGGGACCGAGGGTGTGCGGTATTGGTC